ATCAATTCAAATTCAAACTTGAACTCAAATCAAATTCAATTTTAAAAATATATTTAATCCAAATTAAGAATAACAATGTCAATCACATTTATCCAATCAAAATTATATTTATTATTTATATTTTCTGATCCAAAATAGGAATGACAATGATAATAATATTTGTTCAATTAAAATTAATCTCAATATTAATCAAAATAGATTTTACTATTATCATTTTTATTATCATTTTTATTATTATTTTTATTATGAATAATTCTCAAAATTTTATTATTATTAATAAGGATTCTGCTATTAATGATGATTTTACTATTATAATATCTTCAAAAAAATCTGCTAATCATCCAAAAAATAAAGTATAAGAATATTTTACAGCTGATCCGAAAGTTTCTGATAAATATTTTTCTGCTATATGTAATTGGTGTAATTCAAAATGAACACATGCTGAACAAATTATTATGAAAGGATATTTAGCAAGTTATTTTATCAAAGCTTCTTCTTTTATAATCTGCGAATATATTCATCAACTCATTTTTGAAGATCCAGATTTATTAATTAATAAAAAATGCAAAGCTACTTCTGTTATTAGTTATATATCGATTACTAATTATCTCGATTCTATTAAAGAACTTCCTGAAGATCATATTTTAAGAATTAATTGTGCACTTATTAAAGCATTCGTGTATGCTAGAATTTCTTTTCATACTATTAAAAATCCTTTTTTTATTAACTTTTTAAATGAATTAAATCCTGCATATAAATCACCAACAAGAGAATATTTATCAAATTGTTTAATAAAAGAGAAACTTGCTAAAGTTAATTATAAAATAAATAAAGAATTAAAATATTATTTTCTAACTCTTGGTAAGTAAAAATTAATATTAATAAATACTTATTTAATAATATTTTTTATAGTATTAGATGGATGGACTAGTGATATACATCATTCTTTGTGGAATTTTACTATTCTTACTTCCAATAAAAAATCAAAATTAAATTAAGAATACTCTGTAAAAGAACAAACAAATCTTTTTCAACCTGGATTCCACAAAATTAATTGATATTGAAGTTAGAAAATTATTTCAAGAGATAATTACTGGAATATTAACACTAATATAATATTTTAATAAAAATCTCAAAGTTATTTTTAATAATTTCAAAGCATTTCATAGAGAAACAATTCACAAAAATATCTCAACTATAGCAAAAGAAACTTTTACAACATTATTAAAAAAAGAAACTAACTAAACAAGAAGTTTATATTATCTTCAACAAGAAATCCATCAATTTTGACAAAAAAGAAAAGAAGAGAAAGAAAGAACAACAAAAGAGAATAATTGTAAAAACTTTTAGTCTAAAAGAAACAATCTCTAAAAAAAACATAAAGAGTTCATCAAAACTGTTAATAACTTTAACTTGGAAAAATTTAACAAAATAAATATCATCCAAAAGCATTTTAGTTAAGTGACTAAATCAGTTAATCAATCACCAGCATCATTTTTCAATACTAAAAAGAAAGAAAAAAGTATCAGTAATTATTTAAACTCAAGAAACACAACAAGAACAACAAGAATTTCAACCAGAAAAAGATTGAGAAATGAAACAACAATTTGGAAACTTGATCACTGGATTAAATGCCTTAGTAAATGCCAAAGAAGATAAGAATATGCATATAGATGGTAATTACACTAACAATAAAGCATCCGATCTTTAAGCATAAATGCAAAACCAGTTATTCAATTATACAAGTCACGACCTTATTTTTTGATTGGCCGATTGATTTTTAATACAACATACTATAAATATATGAAAAATATCACCAGAACTTTGACAAAACTGATTAAAAATGGTCTGCAGCAAATGTAAGTACTTCGTTCAATAGCTTCTCATTTGCCTCCGAATCACCTAGATTGAATAACATATCATGCTCATCTGGTACTTTAGGCGAAAAAAAGTTGGCGAGAGTAATTTGCCCTGATAAATGGAAAGAAGGTTCGCGAAATACAACAGGTTTGCTGTGTGTTTTGTTAATGTCGATTAGTCTTCTGGCTCGGAAAAAAATCAAATCAAGTGAATCTCTCTTTTAAATAGTTGGGACAGACAGACAATTACACGAGAACAAGCTACTCAGTAAACCTGGAAAAAGCCGGTGAGTTGTTTATTCAACTGATTCATGTATAATAATCTCTTTTCAATCTAATCCAAAAACATTAATTCTATCCAAACGATTATATTTTAAACGTAAAGATTTAAACCGTACGAAAACAAATGCAAGATTTGTAAAGCGCGAGTTCATCAGGAGCATGCACATTATTGTCAAGGTAAAATAACGCTTTTATTTATTTACTCCGCTTGCTTGCTACCAGAGATTTAGCTTTATCGGAGATTTTTATATGGGGAAGGTGAAGTTAATAGTCGCCATTGAACCAATAATCATAATCAATGTGCGAAAAAACGGAAAGACAAAACAAACAGACAAAAATAATGAAGAACATACTCGATTATAATTTAAAACAATTTATTTCACTTTAGAAAAATAATTCAATTGACTAATTATTTAACCTCTAGGATGCGCCTACAAAAAAGGAATTTGTGCCATGTGCGGTAAACAAATTCTGGACACAACAATGTACAGGCAGAGTGCAAAGTAATTCGCACCGGCCAACTGACTACTTACCATTCCCGATAGAGAGAGGTGAATGAGAGCAACAAGCAGACTTTATATGACGATGATTATTACGAAAAGGTGTAATACAGTTCTCTGCAAACATATCCAAATATCGTCATAAAGTAAAACAAAAAACCTCAAGAACAGACGTATCGTATAGGAAGATTGGGAAATTCCAGATAATATCTCTTATGACTAATAATAATAACGGTGTGTTGCTGAGTGTTATCTAATTTTTTGTGCTCTTAAATATATCAATGAAGATAATGAAATATTTCATATTATTTTATATTAAATGAATCTTCCAATTATAATGAAACCAATTATATTTATAGTGCCAAAAAAAGATAATATTTAATTACATAAGAAAATTCGATAGTGTGCGTGAAGTGAAATGAATGAATGTATTATTATTATCAAATGTTATGTATACGTTATTTTATTACTACTATCGATCTTACTATTTATGAAAACATGAATGCGTTGAGTATGTCACACTGTGTGTTGCGTAAAAAGAAGATTGATAGCAGATATTATATGTGATTCAATTAAACACAAATGACTGAATTGGGTGACGTTCGCGCCGCTCATTTCAAGCCAGGATATTCGGTAATGTTGACTTCGAATCTTTCCTGTACTTTCTGAAGGATATCGGCGTCTTCTTGATTAGCGACGAATGTGACTGCAAGCCCTTTGGTACCAAAACGACCAGCACGACCAACCTGCGCAAAAGTAAAGATTAATGTCAAAAATTAATCAAATAGTAATAATAATATTGATATTGATGTTAATTTTAATCTTAATAATATTTACTCTGTGCAAGTATGTGTCAGGACCATCCGGCATATCATAATTAACTACAATATTCACGCGCTCAATATCGATACCACGCCCGAATACATCAGTTGCGACCATGATACGTGCAGAAAATTCTTTAAATTCTTTATACCTCGCAATACTGTAATTTGCATAACCAGTCGTCAATATTAACATTTTTTAAATGATATTGATAAGAATTAGAGAGAATATAACAAGAAAATAAATCAAACCGGTCTTCTTGCGGCATTTTTCCGTGAATACAAATACTCGGGAAGTTACATTCAACCAATAACTTATTCAGTTCAGTTGCTCTCTGCACAGATTTTACAAAGATGCAAACTTGGTTGAATTCTAACGTATCCAACAAGTCATTTAATTTGCGATTTTTGGCAGTCTCTTGCAGATTGATGAAATGTTGTGTCAAGCCGTGCAGTGTTAGTCTTGCTTCATCATCTACATAAATCTCAAGTGGCTATATGTTTGAGACAATGTGAATTACATCAGCTAAATATAAATATTAATATTTGGAAAACAAGAATATCCAACACTAAATGTTCCTTACATTTTGCATAAATTTTTTGCAGATGGGACGAATGTCTCTGCTTAACGTCGCGCTAAACATCATTACTTGTTTGCTGTGAGGTGTCTTTCGGAAAATTTCCTGCACATCTCGTCGCATATCTGTTTATAATTCAATGATGATGATAGCATGGCATACATTAGTAATAATCTTGTACGAACGAATTTGGTAGAATTCAATAGAAATAGTTTCAGAACATGAGTTTATTCGCATCAAGCACATATTATTTGCGAACTTTAGACGAGCTGGGTTAAAGCAAGATTTTTCATCACACTAATAATCATCATCATCATCATCTTTTAAAAAATCTTACCTAATTGATCAAGCATCTTGTCGCATTCATCAAGAACGAAATGCTTTACACTTCCGGCTTTAAGATGTCCTTCTTTCACAAGAGCGAGAACACGTCCTGGAGTACCGACGACAATGTGTGGAGTAGTTTCTTTATTTCGGAACTTTTCGTAGTCCTGTCTAATAGGAATTCCTCCGTAGAAGACATCGGTCTTGATATCAGGTGTGTATTTGCTGAACCGTGTGTATTCACTGCGGATCTGGAAGGCTAGTTCTCGCGTATGGCAAAGGACGATTACCGAGACTTCACCCGGCGTAGGTTCTACTTGCTGTAGGGTGGCGAGTACGAAGACGGCAGTTTTGCCCATTCCAGACTTAGCCTGACAGAGTACGTCCATACCGAGGATAGATTGCGGTATACATTCCTGTTGCACTGAGATGATGGATGGTTGGGAAAATTATGGTGGTATATATACCAAGAGATCGTCAGCAAAACCATTCTTGAAGATATAATTGTATTTGTACGTCGATTGGATGATGATGTTTCTTATGTTTTGTTATTTTTTTGTCTCGGAAGCGGAAATGAGAATCGTAATATTTTTTGTCTCTTGGACCGAGATGAGAAGGTAGTACAGCAGTATTTCATATATGAGGCTGTATGTGTATGTGTGTTTTTGAGCGAAGCATTGAATGACAGGCAAGGTAATAAGAAAAGGGCAGTTTGGCACACCTGAGCAAAATTAAGATTGTATAACAGTAACGTTCAAGAATCAGAACTTTGCCATCAATTATTATTCATCACAAATTTTTTGATGAAAAATAAACATAAATAATAAGAAAAAAAGAATGAAGAAAATAACAATAGGATGTGTGTGCAAGATGCTGAAAATGAGAAAGATGAGATGAGAGGGATACCATTGATGTCGAAGTTTGTGTTTTTTCAAATATAGATGTACTTTCAACAAACGTGCCCTTTTGATATTTCCATGCTTGTAATAATAATATGTGAGATCCCCATACGAGATGTTCCATCAACGATGACGATGATAATGATGTTTTAAAAAATAAATTATAATATACACAATCATTGAGCCTCGAAAAGCATAGTTGACGAGTTGACGCAGATGGCCAAAAAAAAAACAGGCAGGACGTCGTAGCATTATCGGCAAAAAAGAGTAAAACGAACGAACGAACGAGAGACACACAGACAGACAGACAGAGCTCGATGTCGCTGTACTACTCGTGTGTGGAGGATATGTATATTGTGTTTTTGATTCATGTCATCATGTCTTTTCATACACACCTTCACTTGGATGTTCGAAACCACAGTCGACAATTGCTCGTAACAACTCTGGCTTCAGCAAGAAATCCATAAAACCAGTCGAATGTATACCAACATAGCTTCCTTTTTTCTCCTTTGAATCTTCACCATTAGCTTCACCGTTACTAATAACCTTATCAACACTGGGCTCTAATTGCGGTGAGGTATCTTCTTCCTCTTCGTAATCGATAAGTTCGTCGTGGTTATCAGCATCGGTCATATTTCTTTTTCTTTACTGGTTTTACGGTGGTTGGTTTTGTGCTTGTTCTTTCTTTGGTATATAAATTTGCCTTGCCAATGGTTGGATGGATGAACGAGCGTGGGTGTGTGTCTGTATGTGATTGCTGTCTTGGGAATTAGTGCGTTCAAGAGTGTTTTTTAGTTGAAAAAAATAAAATCAAAAGTATGAAAAGTTATGTTCAGGAAACAACTATCAAAAAAGGTGTTGTGTATTATCCGCAAAAAAAATAAGAAACACAAAGGATTTTGATGATGATAAATAATAATAATACAAGATACGGAGACCGGATTGTTATTTTGTATGATTAACAGGCATTAAGCCAATAATATCGAACAATTATGTGAATGATTAACACAACAAATATGTTTTTCATCATCATACTATGTAGTAGAAAATTTGAAAATAGTAAATTCGAAGATGAATTACTACAACTGTTCCTAGAGCCAACTTCGGTTTTTTTAATTAGTTTTATCCGTCGAGTGTCTTTGCCTCTTCGAAATTTCGGGAGAAAGATACGACAAACATCAAGAAATTGACGATTCGTATTATGGTAATAATGCCCATCATGATCACATCCGGATTTTATTATTTTTTGACGGTAATTTGGAACATTACCGTGAACGTTTCATTTTATGTACAAATACTACATGTGTGACATAATATAATAAAAAATCGGAAATAAAATTTTATTGTTATTACAATCTAACACTAATTTCTTTTTCTAGTGTTTGGCCGATTTCGATCAAGAAACTCAAACTAATCAAGTATAAATGTCTATTTTTCTCATTACACTACATACACTACATATAGACACTTTTTAATCCAAATGTTTTGTATTTCACTAGAGATTGCTGCATCGAAACAAGTAAACTTAGCTTTTATTATGAATATATTAATTAGATCAGAATCAATAATTATTTCTTCACCACCATCCACAAAGAATTTTAGATGGAATTAGATGAATTCGATAAGCACCATGTTCACCTAGATTAGAGTCAAATGCTGCTGCATTAGTAGATTATCATCTTTCAATCTATTTTGAAATTGGAAGAATTCCAAATGTTATGACTTTATCACAATATCAAACAAAAAACTTTTATTTTACTTAGAATATGCAATTAAATTGCAATTCTTTGATTGATTACTACAAGTTGCAATTAATTAAGATATCATTTTTAATCTAAACAAAGAATTTAATTTCTGATCTTAAATTTTCAATAAAAATTATTATTTTAAAATATTCTAAATATTTATTATTTGAATCAATATAATAAAGTAATTTTTTGATAACAGCTAAATATTATTCTATTAACAATTGTTTTTATTAATTTAATTATTATTGTCATTCATAAACTTTATTAACAATTCTAATTTTTATTTAAATTAATAGATAAAGAAATAACTAAATTAATTGAATTATTAATGTTATTTGAATTTTAGTAAGTTAGCCAATTTGTTATACTGTTACAGTAGTAACATAAAAGTCGTTAATTCCAAAAATAGTTGAAAAACATAAAAATATTTATATAATAACAAAAACCTCTCAAATCATTTTACTTTTACCTATTATTTTATCTTTTATTTTACTTTTTACCTATTAT